ATAATAAAAAGAAATTAACTATTAGTGAAAACAAATGCAAAAAGATGAAACTCTATCAAATGCAGCTACGACTACTTCAACGTTCAAATTTTTATCCTGTCGACACGAAAATTCTCTCTCTCTCTCTATCATTTAACAACAAGAACAACAAGCACAAGCAGTTCAAGCCAGCAACAACTACAACAACAACATGCAACACACAAAAAACAAAACAACAACACAGCGCCTACTAAAACCAACAACAACAACAAAAACAATTAACCCGAAAAAAAAACTCTTTCGAGAATAAAACTGAAAATTCAAAAAGAAAAGAAAAAAACCTAAGGAAATATCTTCACTTGCTACTACTAAAAATTATTGAACACACTGTATTATATTACAAAAACAACATAAAATACAACATCAACAGATACAAAGAAACATTGTGTATTATATGTCAAAGTACCACAACATCAACAACAACAACATCAAGCCAGCAACAACAACAAGCAACAGCGCCAAAAAAAAAAAAAATAAAGAATTTTTATAAGCAAGCGCAGCAGCAAATTGAGTGCAGTAAACCACAAGAACAGCTACAACAACAACAACAACAACAAAATTCAGTCCAATCTTAAACAAGAACAACAACAAGTACAACAATAACAACCAGCTTTTTGATCGCACTGTACAAAAAAATATATTAAATTTAAAAACAAAATCTGCGCGCTGAAACTCAAACTTTACTAACTAATTTTAATTGCTAATTTATTTATGATTTTTGTTTGTATATTCATGATTTTATTTGATTTTATATTTCTTTTATTTTCACGGCAGTGTTTTTAAAGGTAATAACAACAATAACAACAACAACTACTACTACTACTACTACAACAACAACAACAACAGTTACTATCACAATAATAATCTAAAGAAAGAAATAATAAAAACAGCACACGGATCCAAAACCCAAACCTCGATTTAGCTAGCATATATAACAATCAAAATGCGTTGCCATAGCTCGCACCCAGCCCCCGCCCCCGCCCTTACTAAAGCCTGCCCGCCTGCCTGAACAAACAACAAACGCCCAAACCAAACCAAACGCCCGCCCGCCTGCCTGTCTGCTATCCAACAAAACTTAACTTACTTCTTTACCTTAACCTCAAAAGCAACAGAAAATGCCGAAATACTAAAAATACTATTAAAAGAAAAATACTAATACTACTATTGTTCTGTTTGTTGTGTGTGTGTAGAAGTTCCAGAACAGAATGAAACCCAAAGCAAAAACAAAAGTATTTTAAGTATATATTCCAACAACAACAACTACAATTACTACTACTACTACTACTACTACTCCAACTACTACAACAACAGCTACAACAACAACAGTTATGCAACTAAAAAATCAAATATATGAATGCACCAAAACTTAAGCAAAAGTACAACAAAATATTTATATATATTCAATTTTATGCAATCTATACAAAAATTCAAAAACCAACCACGAAGTTTGCAAGCAAAGTATATGTATATATACATATAGAGCTATATGTTTATATATGTATATGTATGTATGAAAACTCTATATCTGGGCAGGACTAAGCATCACAACAACAACAACAAAACGCAAAAAAACTCGCAGACAAGATACAAAAAATAAAAATAAAATCAAATAATAATAATAATGTTGCAAGCAATCAGTATATGCCTACTCACTACAGTCTCTATATAGTCTCTCTTTCTTTCTCTCTCTCTCTCTCTTTCTCACAATCACGAAAAAAATACCAAATACCCAACACTATTCTACTATCTATCTCTATCTCGCTTGTGTTTGTCTGTGTGCAGGGATGCATGGCACGGGCAGCGACGCAGCAGATGCAGCAGCCGCAGCAGCGCTAAAATTGTTGTTGTTGATGGACAAGATCATCRTCATGATATAATACAGATGATCTGTTTGATGTTAATGATGATCGTGATGATCGTGTGATCGTGTTAACAGCGCGGGATCGGATTATGGATACGCACATGGATAACATAATAACGACTGCGAGAGCTACTACAACAGCGACTATGGCCAGTAGAGCTAATGCGACTACAGCTGCTGCTACAGTCCCGATTCGCTAGTCGCTATAGAGCGTACAATTTGAACAGATCCTTGAAATGTTTGGGGCGGTGTATGTACGCTGACAAGTTTTTGAATTTTTTGCATAAAACTGAGATAAATGAGATAACTGAATCGATTTATCGATCTGTCTATCGTTATCGGAAGAAAAATGTTGCCAATTGTGGTTGTTGCTGTGCCTGATGTTGCAAATCCGACGAGTCGAAGCTAACCGAGAGAATACAAAAAAGAAAATTAAATCATAAAATATAAAACATAATGAAATAATAATTCAAATATAATTTAGTTTTGGAATTATTTACCCATATAAATATAGATTTATATATACATATATATATAAAACNATTATATAATTTTTGTTCTGTATTTCATGCCATGAACCACAAATTTTCCAAGCTTCAAATTTTATTTAATTTGTCAAAAGTTAACAAAAAATCAAAACATTTATCATTGGGATCTGTTCAAAGTTATGTAACTATATAGCTCTATATGATCGAATTTTTGGGGCGTGTAGAGAAGTTGTATGTGGCGGTTGGCCCATTGGTTTTCGTCGATCGACAAAGTAGTTTCTGACGGTTCTCAAAAAGAAAAGTATTTTAATCATATATATATAAATATATAAATTGTGCACCGTTCTTTGGAGAGAGACCGCGACGTCGACTAACGTTGCGTATTATCACACACACACACAGCGACTGTGACGGAGGTGAGTCAGTTGAAGCACTCTATACTAAATATAACTACCTACCAAATACCAAATATCATAGTTTGTAAGTGCAAAATCAACGTAAGATAGCCCCTACCTATCGAAACGTGTAGAGCAGCACCTAAAATTGTAAGTGTTTGTGTATATTCCAATACACTAAACTTTATGGAACTTTACAAAAATGCATCTGAGGAAATATATTAATAATCAAAAGCCTCTCAGGCTTTTCTTTATGGATAATATCTTAGATAATCTCAGAATAATAATTTGCTTTCTGTCTGCAAAGTATCTTGAAATATTTTTTTATCGAAACAGTCTTTTTTACATCTTATGTTCATAAGTAGTAAACATAAAAAAAAAAAAAAAAAAAAAAAAAAAAATAGATATTTTGTCAATTTATGAATTTGAAACAAAAAGATTTCCAGCAATTTTTATGAACTCTATTTCAAGATTTTTTACTTTTGATAGATTCAAGTAAATTCAAATATTTAGCTTAAATTTGGGAGACAAAACTCATATGATTATAAATCAGAATCTATATTCAATTATGCCAATATGTTGAAAAGAACTTCAAGATCTTAGCTCATATATCCATAAGCCATGATTGATTGCATAATATGAACAATTCTTTATAGTTTTTCAATTTTAAGTTTCGTAGACAATCGATTTCTGCTGACTTTGTGGTTCATGGTTAGATTACATTATTTGTGAGATCTTTTTCAGTAAAGTTAGCTTTTATCGATATCCATAAATCTTTAGTGTGTTTGCTCCGCTGTCAGCGCAATTGTCGCCTTTAAAGTCGCTAATATTCGTACTCAATGCAAGACATTAGCCCACTTAGCCATAAAAGTCGATTTCAGTAAAAACACAAAATAATTGCACATGAAAATTAAGTTTTTCTATTTGTTGTTTGCATTTGTAGAACAGGTTCTCATTGTGGACCCGGCCAAAACGAGCTACAGAAAAAAATTTCAAGCTAAAACAAAAAATAAAAGCAAATGGCAAAAATTGGGGTCGCAGTCGCGATTTTGTTGGTCAGGTGGCCCTGAAACTCAGGTGTGTGGAGCGTGTGAGCGTAGTTGGAAAATCGAAGGCAAATGTTGCAGCAGCTGCGGTTCAATAAATGGTCGATAGATGTCGCCTTATCGAATTTCCCTTCTTTATCTAATTGTCGTTCTTGAACTTTGCTCATCAATTTGATTGACAGTCCTGTTGTCGTTGATTTGGCTAATAAACCGCTAAACTATTGTCTGCGACTCGCATAATTTCGCTAAATATGTGTTGGCTGTCATAAATTATTGTTATATAAGCATTTGTGCCGTGTTTCAAATTCAATGCGACGCGTTGCCCACAATTTGTTGATGTTGTTGTTGTTGCTATGGTTATTGTTGTTGTTGTKTACTGACCTGCCCCAAAAAAACTCAAATGAAATTAGTTGCCTACACGTTGTGTCAAGTTCTTCTACATATATATACTTGTATATATATATTTGTAGTATATATCTTTTTCTTTTTATCTCTTTCTTTATCATAAAAAAATATAAAAGCAAAAAGAGCTAAAAATGATTCATTGACATGCAAAAACACAGTGAATAACACAAAAGCAGCAGCTGAACCGGGCGAACGACCTGCCAGATTTTATATATATATATACACATATATATTCATTGCAGACTTTCTCATGCTCATGATCTGGTCAATCTCCCTCTCCCTCTCTTTCACTGTCTGGGTGTATCTGTTGTGTCCCTCTCTTGCTCTCCCGTTCGGCTTAAGTGCAGTTGTTAAAATGCGTCGACTTGAATACGTGTTGAATATACATATGTTTTTGTGATGTTATTCCCGGGTTGGAACACAGTTAACCTACATTTTGTTTGATATTTTTCTGTTTGATTACCCATTGTTTCGTTTGTTTGTTACTCAACTCTTTTAACAGTTCAACAGAACAACAACAAACACACGCTCAAACAGTCTCTATTAGTTAGCTATTAGTGTAAAACAATAAGAATATACGATGCTCAGACACAGATACACCACAACAAAACTCTATCCAACTCAATTCAATTCAACTCAACTCAACTCAAATCAGCTACCAACAATGCAAACCCAACAACAATTCCAACAACCAACAAATTCAACAAATTTGTGGAAACATTTATCACGCGCAAATTGTTTGCCATTTGCTCTTATCTCATTTCAGTTAAGGAGATTGGAAATGGTCGCTCGCCATTACTGCAGGAGCCTCTTTACGGTACACGACCTCAGCCCTACAGTGAGTAGAAGGCGCCTATTCATTTGTAGTTTCTGTTTAGCTGACAAATGTTGTACCCTTCGTTTTTTTCTTTTTCTTAAATAACTTCCCCCAAAAAAGAAAACAAATATTAAATCAATTTGTATTCCCAATGCCTTCTCCCATTTTTAAACCCATAAACTGCATATGGTGTGTGAGGCTGTGTCAATTTTTATAATTTATTTGCGTTTCTAACCAGTTCGTTTTGGAATTTATTTAGTTATTTAGGCTTTAGCATCGGCTATTGAGGTAGGTGAAGTTACATTTCATAATGTTGTTGAACGTTGTTGCTTTTAGTATTTGGTTAGGTGAGTCTAATCTGATTCTCTGGGCTGTAATTACTTGCAAACAGTATTTAATTACTTCAGTAATTACAATTGACTCAGGAAATTCAAACTGAGCTACTACTGTTCTAGTTACTAATAACTATGCGTTCAATTACAGCTTTAATTACATATATTGTTTGAATAAGTAATTGTATTCGATTTAAGTAATTACCGCATGATTTTAAATATTTTTAACTGAACTAGAGTCTTCTAACAATGTCGAATTCGTCAATTATAAGTAATTCAAATATTACAACTTCTTCCTTTGTCCTATGTTGACAATTACTTAGGTAATTATGTCTGCTAATGGTAATTACTTTAGTATTTATATCTTGTGCCTTGCATTTGTGCAACCATTTGTAGAATGTCGGACGTCTTTGCCTGAACTTTTGTTGCTGACATTTATGTCTTGGGCTCTGCCCACATCTTTTCTTGAAGTAGTTCACATGCCATTTGGCAAATTGTCTACATAAATTCATTAGTATGTCAAATACAGCGCACATTCGGTCTCTTGGAGTGAACTCTTCTCAGACTTTTTCTCAATTTCTTGCGTTTACCAGGTAAACTTTTCTAATTGTTGGCACTTGAGCGTGTCTTGCGCAAGGAGCCCTCATAAAATTGCAATCATTACATTTTGTATGAACCTTCACTTTGTGCTTCGAGGAAGTTTTTCTTCTTCTTTGCCTGTGACATGAGCGCAATTAAAGAAAATTAAGAGCTAACAACAAATATTGTTAATTAACTGGGCCAAAAGTAAAACTGGAAATGTTGTAAATCAACATTGGCAGAGCATTCGACCGACTCGATTTGAGTGCAGGCCCTTCAAGCAGTTGCAAAATAATCAAACCACAGTCCACAGATAATCGAAGTGCACACGTTTTATAGAGGTCCTTAAACGTGACAATATACTCGGCGCTATGCTATGCTGTGGTGAAAGTGCTCTAGGCCAGCGGACGCTTGGCAAAGTTCAGATTTCATTCGCATTGCTCGAGTCTTTGGTATTTACCGATTGGCTTGCGACGACGAAAATTGTGTCAAACGCAAAGACCTGGCTAAAGGAAATGCCAAAGCCCCAATGCAAAGGAAACACATTCCAGTTAGAGCAAGAGGGAGAAGCCGTAAAGAGTGTGGGAGATAGAGAGAGAGGGAAGGAAAGAGGAAGGAATAGTGTGGTTGGTGCCTTTAGAAAGAGCGTGCTTGATTGCTGGGAACATGTGTATTAATTTTCCCATTGACTTTGCGGCCTGCCATAACACCGCCGCCCCACGCTCACGCCCACGCCCACTAATTTTCGTTTCAATGGGGTGGTAATCGATTTGCTGCAACAGCAGGAGCAGCAGGAGCAGCTTTACGTGTGAAGCACAAAATTAATTGATTTTTTATGGGCCAAGCACTTCGAATTCAATTGCATTCGAGATGATTGTGAAATTTTGTGGCTTTCGTGTCATTGCGGTCAGTCCGAAAAATGCCAAGCACAGCTTTCGGGACTGCTAAATGATCTATCATCAAGTTGATTAAATGAACTCGTAGCAGCTGCAAATTGCTAAATTACTAGATACATACTCTGCAAGACCTATATCCAAAGCCTGATTTATCTGCATATTCTTATCTAAATTTATAGTTTTTTTTTTTACTTGACTTTTCTATCAATTTTAATTGCTTTCCTAACTTTCTCATAGATAAAACTCAATTAAAATTAAGTTTTAAACGGATTTAAGCTAGCTTCAGCTATCAAGTGAATTGAATGCTTAAAAATACAATAAAAATCGCTTGTAATTCCTAAAAGGTTCAAGTCAAAGTTGTCTTAATAGCCTCTCAGAAGTTCTATTCTCACGCCACACTTTATGCGAGTTTCACTCATTTAATTAGCTTAAAGTTCTTAATATTCAGGAACTTGTTATTCCCCACGCCCATATTTATTAGCCCAGCTAATTGGACTATATATATTGAACTTAACCAAAACAAAAACAAAAATCCACTCGAAAGTTGAGCTGAGGTTCATTTGGCAAGGCCATGAGATAGAAAGAATAACCAGGCAGCGCCTCGAGGCCGCACCTAGTTACAACTTTTGCATTATCTAAAAATCGCAAAACTATAAACTAGGCAGGCAACCGCACCACGCCCTCCGGTCCTGCATACCTCCCTCCCTCCCCTTTTCAGAAAACTTATGTAAGCTGCCTCGAGGCGCAACATGGTGTGGTGCGCTTTTGGCTCATAATTCCGAGTCGAGCATTTTCCTTAGCCTTGATATTTTAATTTGTGCGTAAATAAAATTTTAAGCATTGCTTTGCTTTTGCATTAGCCAAGTGAAAAGTTTTTAGCCATGACTTGTTGTTGTTGTTGCTGCTGTTGCTGTTTGTGCTTTGGGGACAGCAGCAGCCGAGCAACTCTTGATGTAAAAGATTAAGCAGAAATCCGTCTCTGACTGCCGCTCGGCTGCTGCTTTTAATTGCATTCGAGGCAAAAGTTGAAACCAAGTTCTGCTTTCAATTAGAGATGAGACGGGGAAGGGGCCGGAACGGGGCCAACTTGTGGGTCATATCTATGGGTTAGTATCTGTATCTATATACGCTTTTGTAGTTGTATCTTACATAGCAGCGCTCCCCTATGTCAAGTATTTGCTCTGAACATATCTCTCACTCCGTTTATTTGTTGTTGTTTATTTCTTGTCTTCGCTCTGCTCTGCGGGGAATTGCGCAAAAGTTGGGGGGTTTTCGTCTTCTTTTTTTGCCTTGTTATTTCACTTGTTTTTCTTGATTTTCCGATAAAAGTTTTCGCAAGCAAATTTGCTTCAATGCTCGTTGTGTGTGATAATTGGCCGTGGCCACGCCTCCTTTGACCATTGTATTTGATTTTGATGTCCAGGTCAAATGTTTTCTCCTCTATTTTTCTCTGCTGTCGACTTTAGCGTCAAATTCAATTGATTTTACTTTCCGAAGTTTTTGGCAAATTCCATTGAATACCTGCGGCTTCTTGTTGTTGCCGTTAGTTTAGCTACACTTCAATTTTCTGTCTGGTTGGCTTGCATGCTTTTGGCTTAAATGTTTGAGGTTTACAATTTGGGTATAGTTTTTCCGGTTAACAAGTGTGGGTTTTCTTTTTTTTTCTCTTAGGTTTTGTTGCTTACAAAAGTGAAGCATGTTAGATATATATACTTTAATTGCTTATCGGGAAAAGCAAATACGTAAATTGAATTTGTTGTAGCGAAAGTGTTGTGCAAACAAGATGTTTTTATATCAAATACATTTTAAGCTTACACAAAGAGCGCAGCAAGGGAGAGACAGAGAGAGAGAGAGAGAGAGAGAGAGAGAGCGAGACAGAGTATGCACATGCGGCTGCTATGATTGACCAAGCAAATGCCCAACAGATTTATTTTAATTAATCGAATAAAAACTAACTAACTTTGCTAAACTAAAAAGAGCATTTTATTTTATATATATATATGTACTGCAATAGTTTTAATATTGACACAGAAAAATTCTTAAATAAATGATATGATTAAAATCTAAGGATAAAAAGTTTCATCATTAAGCTTTTCACACCTTGCATTCATTCAGCACAGTTTGATAACTGTTTTGCACTGTTATATTTTCCTTGCTTCTTTCTTAATTTTCTTTGGCCTTTCGCCTTGACTGACTCTATGCATATTTAATATTTTCTTAAGCTCCACTTTTATTGCCCTGTTGCTGCAGCTAGCGCCCACGCTCACGCCCACACCGACGCCCATTCCCACGCCTAATCAAGAAAATAATAATATCAAGTTCGGGTCTCAGTTGCACTTATGACAATGCAGCCAAGTCAGATTGTGCTTGGGCATGGCAGATGCCTTCAGCCCGAGGATTTCACTCGTCAAATGGAATTCTTTGGGGAGCTTTGTTTGGCCCGACTGTGCTGCTTGGCCTAATAAGCATCCTTGGGGAAATTATGATGAGCAGAATTCAATTTCGTGTTTAATTTGGCAGTGAATCCGTTCCTTTGTGCACCCACTGCTCAGAGTGCTCACAGTGCTCTGAGTGGTTGGGTCCACGTCTTCTAAAACTTGCTAGAGTTTTCCTTTATTCTGCTTGCACAAGTTGTTTTCCTCTCTTTTTATTTTTTGGCAATTTTATTGCGGCTCTTTGTTTAGGCGAATGTTTTCTTATTCGTTTTTTTTTCCTGTTTCAGTTCTTTGCATCTCTTCAAATAATTTCGCTCTTTTGCCACGACTTCAAAATGCAAATCTGCTTTGCATTTGTTTTTCCTATATACCCCTCCTCCCTTCTTCTTCTTCTTCGTTTTTTATTACTCAAATAAATTTCAATATAGTACTTATTATACGGTGCTGCATTTGTTGGCTTTTTGGCCTCGCCGTTAACCACAATGAAAAGTATTTTTTAATTTCACCACAAAGTTTTCTTTATATAAAAATCTTCTTCTTTTGGTTGGTTGTTGTTGTTGGTGTTTTGTTGATTCTTGCAAATGAAATGCTAAAGTGATTTTTATTAAAAGTTTCACATTTTGTTTAAATTTTTGTCTTTTTTTTTTTTTTAATAAAAAAAAGTTTACTTTTTAATCTGCTTGCTGTTACTTTACATTTTGCGGTTTCACTTTGCAAAAGGCTAATTAAATTTAAATTGTTGTTTTTTGTGGAATTCCATTACTTTTATATATTATATA